TAAAAAGTAATAGTCCCTTTCTTTGTAAAGGGTAATAGAGCAAAGTGAAAAGTAAAGTAAAGTAATTGTCTCTTACTTGGTAAATGGTGAATTGAGCATAATTGATATTGATTATTTTTGGGAGTAGCATCGAGCATCGAATTGGGTTAGAGTCTATTATAGCTCGAAAGTCACATAAAACTATGTAACCAGCATAGGATAGGATATCATTGATTCTTCATGTGACTCCTCACTGCCTCTGAGAAGGCCTATTAGATGGATCCATAGTTACAATATCATCATGTGCCCCGGCAAAGTATTGGATGACCCTTGCAACGTGGGTGAAACGTTGTATCATTGCTAGGCTCATAGTGATTGTTGTCGGTTAGAGAAACTCCCCACAAAGTAAAGTATATTATTTTCATATTTCTTTTTATTGCATGTCTTATTGTAAAACTTAAATGGTTTTTCACTTCATGTTCATGTATTGATTCAGTGAGTTGCGTTCAATCATTTAGTTCAATTATTTATTTATTCAACCATATTATATACTTTTACATTCAATGTATTGACGTCATTCGACCTACATTTTTTAATGATGCAGATATAGGTTCTTTGGATCCTCAACAAGAGTCCTTTGAGATCACTTTGTCTGCTTGCCAACTTTTGAGTAAGACCTCCTTGCTTTCGGAGGACTCTACTTTTATGAGTTGTTAGTAATAGTAACATTTTGAGTAGTCGTGGGTGTTGTCTTGACACTCGTCTATATACAGTAGAGCCTTCATAGATAGACAATTTTGGAGAGACTTTCAATTTCATATGTTTTATTTAAAGCTTATGTTTCATACTCAGTATATTCAGTGAAGTTTTGAGATGTAATAAACTATTTTTAAATGTTTCTTTCAAGTTGATGCTTATGTATGCTCAAGTTAGTCTTCCGCTTGTAGTCAATGAGGGTTCGCTTGGAGACCAACAATGGTTCTCGAGTGCTGGCGACATCCAGGGTGTAGGCTCGGGTCGTGACAGGTCACTCTTGATAGCCGGGCTGGGAGTGGACTGGCAAGCTAGGCGGCATAGATTGAGTTTCACCCTTGCTAGCAGGGCTAGGAGTTGACTCGATTACTAGATATTGTGGTTACTTGGGCTGGGAGCCCAACTTTATCTTAGTGGTACTCTTGTTTCAGTAGACCCAGCTATTATGTGTACTTGTCGAGCTTATGGGGGGCCATTCGGGTTTAATTTAAACGTGAGCACGAATGTACCTTCTTGGATTATGGGGTCCATTTAGGTTTAGTTTAGTTGTACTTAGATTTCCTTTTGGTATGCTCGTTTGCTTTCTTTCATATCTAATTATACCTTTTCTTACTGTCTTTATTTTTCTTGCCCAGTCGGCCTATGATGCCTACTGAGTATCTTTGTTTTGGTACTCATGCTACACTCTGCATCGATTTAGTGATGCATGTCCTAGTACCAACTACCGAAAATGACTATTTTTTCCATCTTCAACAACTTTTGAGATCGGAGACGTGGGTGAGCACTTGGCGCCCTGGATCAGCCTATCTCCTTCTATATATAGGTTTAGCTAGTCTTTTGCCTTTGAGACGGCTTTTTTCTTGTGGTCCACTTTTTGGGACTTGTACTTTCATTTTAGACAACTCTGTACTTGTGACGTTTATGTTCTAAGAGGGATTCTCTTGTATATAGATTTTTGCTTGCTTCCGCTTCTGTCTTATTTCATTGTTTAGTGTTAACTTTGTTTAGTTCTACCCTTACACTCATTACTTGTCGTTTCGAGAACGAGTTGGCTTACCTAATGGTGAGTTATTGTAGGTATCATCATGACTCAAGGGATCGGGTCATTACAGAAACCAAATGGCTGAAGCATCTTCCACAAAGGAATTAGCTTCAACTGATTTAAATGCTGGCAAGGTTATGGAAAATGCGACATATGAAGTTCATAATAGTTCTATTAATTTGATCGATGTGTCGATTGTCGAATTGGGGCAACAACTATCTCTAAACAGAGGTGTTACTAGTGAGAAATCCAATTTAGCTACTGTTGTAGCGTTAAAATCAGTGGCTGGTAAATTGCCAGAGATGAAAGAGACATCAATAGTTGATTCGGGGCACAAACTAATTGCTACAGGTGATGGTGAAGCTACTGAAAATTTTGAGTTGTATAAGGCAAATTTTGTTAGACGAGTCAATGATGAACAAGGGCAGCTAACAACTGATAAATATACTGATTTGCAAGCTGAAAACCGCAGCCATGAAGAAGATAATGAAGCTGAAAATTAGATTTTGGTTGTACATAAAAATTCAGCTGGTAGTCATATACGTTCCCCGACTAGTCGAAGTAATTCTCCAAGATGTGATAAGGGTGATATTGGAAACTTTCAGTTGAGTGTCGATCCTAATTTAAATTTTCCAACTCAGAATGCTTTTGAACCATTGTTGGTAACTGGTAAAAAGCAACTGGACGAATGTAAGGAGATGATTATTAATATTGCTGCCCATAGTAATCAAATACTACAAATTGAGCAGTCACATGGTGAGGTAAATTGTGGAACTTTAGATCCTATTAGTAAACAACCTCTCGTGTTGTTGAATACTTCACAACATAAAGTAACTTTACCAACACCCGGGTTTAGTAATTTCTCGCCTACAAAATAAGTTGATGTAAGTAGGCTACATGATGAAAACGATCAATATGTTCAGAGGCCTTCTGAACCAACCTTGCCTATGTTATTTACAGCTGCAAACAGTTCAGCCACGACAAAGATGAGAAAGGAGCAACCTGTACAACTGAATTGTCAGGTAATTGATGAGGTTTCGTCCAAGTCTAAGACATGAGCAGAACAGGCTGAAGATGAAAAATATCAAAATGATGGTAGCAAAAGAGAAAGCTTACAGGAGATTAGCGCACCAACTTCGGACAATAATCTCAACCATAATGCACCTCTTTCTGTACCTTAGAGTAGTGAAAAAATTACAACTTGACAGACACTACAATTGGTAGCAATCAACACCATAAAGGGTATAGGGTTTAGGGTTTAACAATTTTAACTCCAAAAGTCTAAAACTTTCAAAAATCACAATTTTACAATCAAATTTCGAAACCAACTTTGTAAACTGGTCAAACAAGACTCGGGGCAGCTATCGGGAGGAGTAAAATGGTAATTTTCCGAAAATTTTCAAAAATGACCTTCAGGGTCATTACAAACCCCCATCACCATGGGAGGTGAAAGTCTGTCATGCATGTTGCCAGGTCAGGTTGGATATTCATAAGACACACTCATGTCAATAAAAGGTGTATATGTGGTCACTAGAATAGTTAGTATGTCTATATGACAATTCATCTGCAATTTTCTTTTTTGGGGGGCATCTATGGCCTATGGGTTAGCAAATGGAAAATGTGATTATATTTCAAAATGATATTTAAAAATGGCAAAGTTATCTTGCCATTCATCTGCAATTTGTTGTTTTGCGAATCTCTTTCTCAGGTAGAGGAAACATGTGCCCTACAAAGGCAGTGTCATTGGTTCTGTTCTCAAAATACCATCTTCTTCTTCTCAGTTTGCACTACCAACAAGACAGTAGACTGTAAGATTGAAAAAATATTTTTGTATTCATAGTCCAAAACTTCTGTCATTTACTTTTGATATTTTCCCTATAATCTATGGGACCAACTCTAGTACCTTGCTCAACAGTTAACTCTAAATGTTCTGACAACTCTCTAAGAAACTAAACTCCCTTCTTGTTACAAACCTCACCACGAATACACCTTTAACACAGCTAGAGATTATTACAATTTAATAATAATCATAGTACAGACTCAATAACAACAATCCTAAACACTATTTTTAGGCCTAGCTTGTTTCTTTAATCTGTTCTTTGTCATATATTGCCTTTGAGAAAGCTTCAGTTATTGAGTGCAATAGTTGCCTCTCTCTTTCTTCATTGTTTACCTTGTATAGATATAAGTCTTGACTATGACTTTTATTTTTATATCATAGACAACAATAAGAGAACCAAGTTTACCGATGTAGCTGGAGCAATGCAAGTGAAATGCGGGAAATTATGACAGGTGCAACTAAGGAAAGAGTCTTATGCGCCAGAAACAGTCTAGAACTAGTGTTTAGGATTGTGTTATTGAGTTTGTAGTAGGATTATCATAGAGTTGTAATAATCCTAGGTTTGGCTTAGGTGTGCGCAGTGAGGCTTGTATCAAGAAGAGAGTTTATCTTCTTGTAGATTTGTTGGTGAACAGTTAGAGTCAAATGTTGAATTGAGGTACTAGAGTTAGTCCTTTAGATTATAGAGTTGTAATATGAAATCGCTCGTTGAAGTTAGTACTAAAGTTGCTAAGATCCTACTCTCCGTAGGTCATGGTGTTTACTCCCTTGAGCAAGGAGGTTTTTTCATGGTAAATCTCGTGTTATTTACCTTTCTATTCGCGTGAGTCCTAAGGAACCTGATTCCTTAAGTCAAGTAGTTGGTACTATTTTCTTTCAGTTTTCTTTGATATCTCAAGGAAACAAGCATGTTAAAAAACAATTGGCAAGAGTTTAGAAAAAATAGTCTTGGCTATTGTCGTTTACCGATTCCCCCCATTCCCAAGATCCACACAATCCGAACATCATCAATTTCAATCTGTAGTAGGGATTCTGCTTTCTCTGAGTAGCTATCCCCACAACTTTGTGCAAATAAGATAGTGAAGTCGTGCATTTGGACAAAAATTTATAAAAAATATGCTCAATACAGTCTGATTCAATCCTACAAAAAAAAAAATCTAATATATACAATTTAAAAAGTCAAGAATAAGAACTAAGAAGTAGTATTTCACATTGTAGAATCCACAATTATGATAAAAAGGACTATGCACATAAATCAAACTATTTTCAGAAAATTAAGTTATTTAAGATTCTGTTTGACTCATTTTTGAGGTAGAGAATCTTTGTTCGATAAAGTAGTATATAATAATGTGTAGATTGTCTTAAAAACTATTCCTTTCGTCTAACTCACAATACATATCCTTTCTGATTTGTGGCAGCAGTTAGGGCAATCCTCCATACTTGCACCTTCTGCGTGCATCCTATCAGGCCATCACCATCATCCTTACAATTTTTTTGGCAAATGCTTCTGCAAAGCTCCCCTTTGGTTTCAAACATCTGTTGCATCAACATCATAGAAAACCGGTAAGACTATTTGTCCATTTTCGTCCTTTTGGCATTCCATGTGTTCACTAGTTCATACAAGCACCACTTCGATGTGGCATAATTCTTTGAGAAAATGGCAAGGGCAACTTGAGAGTCTCAATAGCTTTCAAGAGTTCTTCTGGGATCAAATCATCATGCTCTAGCCTTTTATCATCTCGAAAGGTGATTATTCCCCTCCTTGTAAAAAGTTCATACAAGTAGCCCGTAATTGTTGTATGATTATCTTCATCTCTAAAACTTAAAAAGAGATTGTACTTCCATCGAGGACAGTATTGTGAATTACTCACAAAAGTTGATGCCATGAATTCAGTTTATTTGTTGAAATTTGGAACAAAATTCAATGAAGATGGTGTCTACTGTATTGAATTGAATTATTGCTATTGGGCCTAGTCATTGAATATTATTCATTCACAAATATGAAATTTCTGTAAAACTTCTTTAATACTCTTTGAACCAAAGTTTGGGACAGTTTAGCTCGTATTTTCATTTAACATTATTCATAATTAGTAGGAAATTTTTGTTTGAACTGTATTAGAAGATCCACAAACAAATATGTGCTACAAACAGACGAAGCTGGAGAGAAAAAGTACCCACTAATTTCTTTATCATCGACAACACGTTGATAAACAAGCAATCAAAAACAGTGCTAACCATAAATGAGAAGAGTTTAAGTAATTAAAATTATTAAAACAGAGATCAATTAATGCAGCTGAAGAGACTAACCACTCTCCCAATAATATTAGAATGTTTCGTAGAAGAGGAGCAATTCGCGTCAAACTCAGGATCATCTTTATACAACAAACGTAATCCATACTTGTTCATTTCTCCAGAGAAACATAATGTAATAAGCCCATAGTCATTTGGTGTTTTCCCAATTGCCTTACATGTATCCCATAAGCCAGCAAAAGGTATCAAGAAAAAATAAATCTTAGAATTCCAATCTGAATGGTTGGATAAGGCAAGCTTCCGGGTGATACCCGAGGTCCCATCATCACATAAGGAAATCAACTGAGCTGTCATGTCAATTAATTCACCACTGTAACATACAGCAAATCCCAAGAAGTTATCACGAACGTACCAGTTTTCAGGCAAATTGACTGATACGCTTTTATCAAATCCTCGATGGTGGAACCAACTAGGGATATTCTCCTCCCAACTAACGAACGCTCTTAATGACAAGGAATCTGAAGCAGAGATGTCATGCTGCTGCAATGATGAGATATTCTGAAACAACGAATTACAGATTGAATCATTGCTCCAATATGCATCTATTTTATCTAACTGCTCCGGAAATTCTGGCAACTGTGTAAGCCTCTTGCAATATGATAAGTACAAGGCTTCAAGAGCACCAAGTTGGGCTATGCTTCGAGGCAAATGCTCAAAATTGTTTTTACTGAGATCCAACTTTTTCAAAGACGATAAGCATCCAATGTCTTCTGGAAGTCCTCCATCTATTAAATTGCATGAACTGAGATTCAGAATTTCCAATGAGCGTAACCCTTCATTCACCTGAGGGAACACAAAGTACACTCCATCTTCTAAACATTGTCCTGCAAAATTCAAGAATTTAAGCTTGTTCAAGCGGACGATGGAAGATGGAGGTTTTGAAATTCTAGTGCAGCTCGCATCAAGATTCACCAAGTTCTCTAAATCACCTATCTCTTCTGGCAAGCTTTCAAGTTTTAAGCACCATGACACATCTAGCTTCACCAAACCTTTCAGCATGCCAATGCTGCTCGGAAGAGCTATAAGTTTTTTCATGCCCGCCAAATCTAGCTCGGTAAAAGGAGCTTCAAGGTTTTTCATGCCTAGCAAATGTTTCTTGGTAATATGAGTTAGATACTGAATAGATGAGGGTAGTTCCCTTATACCAGTGCCTTCTACCTTAATCTCTAACTCCAACTTCATTCTCCCAAAGAAATTTGGAAATTTATCTAATTTTAAGCAGCCCTCTAGATCCAGATGTTCAAGAGACTCCACATTAACACATGGAAACCTCTCAAGGCTTTTACAACGATACAAACTTAACTTATTGAGTTTTTTGCAATTTCCCAGTGAAGGATGCACCTTTTTAAGACTCCTACATCTCTTCAGATTCAAACACTCCAAATTTGGCATCCCTGTGAAATTTGGTGTTTGCATCAGCCTATCAGAGAAGCTGAGATCTAGCCATCGTAGACACGGCAAAAGCTCCTATCAGAACATAGAAAGAAATTGTTTAATTTTCATTTATATAAATGTTCAGAAACTAAATAAAGGTGTTTATGAAACTAATATCTTAATTTCATTTAATCACAAACATTATAATTCAAGGACAAACCAAATAGAAAGTATCTCAAATAAAACGGTACCTTTCTTTTTGTCCATAAATCATGCAACAAACTCCACCCGAGATAGAGATGAACAAGCCTTTGGGGTTTAAAATTGTCTGGCAATGACACCCAAGGATATTGCTCCCAGTAAACCCATTGCAAGTTGTTGGACAGAAACTCAATGGAGCCATTGAGAATGTATTTCGAATCAATGGAAGAATGGGGCGAAGAGAAACGGTTTAGCCTACCATCAGCTATGCATAATATCCTAAGCCTTTTCATATTTTTCATCACCTCTTTATTAAAGCATATTTGTTCAAAGCAAGTAAACCAAATTGCTTCTATTGTCATGGTTCCCTGGTAAAAAGATCATAAAATAACAAATCATTACTTCAAATGTTGTGTACAATAAACTTACCGATATCACTATTTGCATAAGGCTATATATAAGACGATAAACACATGATAGTTCAGATAAGAATCTCACAAAAGTGCCACACTTCAAGTTATCTTGTAAAATGAAAAAGTACTAATAACTGTCATCTTGTAAAATGAAAATATCATACAAATTTCAAGTTAATTCAATGATTTGAAAGCTTGATAAGCATATTAAATGGCTACTAGACTAAATAATGGCTTAATAACATAAGATAAATTTATTTCAATATATGAAAACTGGAAATTGAATAATGTTGCGTTGTTTAACCTACTTACTGTGTTGTTGACCATAACTTCTTTGAAATCTTCAGTGTGCCATATTCTGCTAGGTTCTCCCGATTTTTTTTGCATTTTCACCACGTATTTACCCATCTCTTGTATTAAGTCATGCATTTCAATAGTATTATTTATAGAGATGAACACAAGAGATTTGTCCATTAAGATACGCAATCCGATATTTGCTCCAGAATAACAGCTCTCAAGAATTTGCATGATATAATCTTTATCTTTCCCTCGAAAGAAGCATGATATATCCAGAAATATATCTTGTTGTATGATATTCAATCTATCATAGCTAATTCTAAGCTTTTCAACAATTTCTGAATTACAGTTATTTTTCATTTCCTCAATAGCACTTCTCCACTCGGTTATGTCCCTCTTATGTAATAAAGAACCCCACACTTTCAAGGCTAAAGGAAGGCCTCTAGCATGATGTACAACCTCCATTGAGAGCTTCTCAAAACATTTGTTTGGAACTTCTTCTTTGATGAAAGCATATTGATTGAACAATTTAATAGCTTGATGGTCCGCTAGTGTAGTCATTTCATATACTACATCATTCGTCTCAATCAAATGCTTGTCTCTAGTTGTTACAATAATTCTACTCCCATCACCATACCAATCAAGATTTCCTACTAGGTAATCCAAATGGTCTCTGTGATCTATGTCATCAAGCACAACTAAAACCTTCTTAAAACGAAGTCTACGAGCTATCATGTGCTTTCCGTCCTCCTTATTATTCACATAATTATCTTTTTTCCTTAATAGTTCTGAGAGAAGGATATTTTGCAAAGAATGCATTCCACATTTGTTTTCTTTAATATCCGCAATGAAACTAGCATCTGCAAATTGGCACGAGAGTGTGTCAAAAATTGCCCTTGCTACTGTCGTTTTACCAATTCCCCCCATGCCCCAGATCCCCACAATTCGAACATCATTGATTCCAAGCTTTAGTTGGGATTTTACTTCCTCTAAGTGAGTATCTATTCCCACAATATTTTGCAAATAAGATACTGAAGTCTTGCATAATTTGGACGAAATTTGGTTAACAATTTGTTGAATGTTCTCTGATTCAACCCTACATAAATAAGAACATTAATTGTGGATAAGCATAATAAAGTAATGTATTATAAGTATTTCATACTATTAGTGCTGAGAAATACTTTTCATGTGGGGGAGCTGGTTTAATAAATAAGCACCATCAGATGTTTGAGTTGAAGTGCTAAAATTGAAAATAAAGTGATTATATATTAAATTTTAAAAAAAAGTGTCTATAAACATTTTTTTCATAAAAAAAAATGACTTAAATAAGCATTTCTAACGTCTAAACTACACATTTTTTTAACGCACCCTTGGCGGATGTCATATCCTTCTAGATCTGCGGCAGCAGTTAAGGCAGTCCTCCATCTTTGTACCTTCTCCATTTCCTCGACATCATCCTTATACTTCGATTCATGTTTGGCAAATGCTTTTGCAAAGCTCTCTCCTTGGTGACGAACATGTGCTGGATCCACATTATAGAATATCGGTATGACTATTTGTCTATTTTCTTCCTTCTTGCATTCCATAATTTTCACTAGTTCATTCAAGCACCACCTCGATGTAGCATAATTCTCTGAAAAAACTACAAGGGCAACTTGAGACTCTTCGATAGCTTTCAAGAGTTCTTCTGTAATCGAATCACCATGCTCTAGCCTTTTATCATCTTGAAAGGTGAATATTCCCCTGTTTTTCAAACCTTCGTACAAGTGACCTGTAAATGTTTTACGAGTATCTTCACCTCTAAAACTCATAAAGACATCGTACTTCCATCGAGGACAGTACTGCAAATTGCTTACAAAAGGAGAAGATGGTGCCATGGATCCGATTGGTTGATTTGTTGAAATTTGAGAAGAATGATATAAGAAGGGTGTGGACAGATAAAATTGATGATATTTGGGACCATTATTGTATACAGGACAACAAATATGAAAAGTTTTCATGAATTATTGTTATGGGGTCCACAGTAATATGAACACAACACATTTAATACAAGTGGAAATTTCAGTTGAATTGAATAATTGCAAGCTAGGCTTGCACGTTAGCTGTCCATTGGTACATATTCATATTCTTGTTTTTGACCTGGTTTTTTTTTAATCTTCAATAAATGCAACAAAGTCAAATAGTGGTTCTTTGTCAATGATATTTGTCAATGATAAAGAAATTTCTTGGATATTACCTTATTTTTAGGCTTTACCCGTTAATATATCTTACAATTTTTAAATAAACAAAGGCTCATAATTTGTTGAGTATAGGTTTTTTTTTTAATTTCGTTCTATGTAGATTAATTTTATTAATGGAAAAAATGTCAAAATATCTTTGAACTATTCGAAATAGCTCACATTTATCTTCCATTTGTTTTTGGTATAAAAATACCCTTCTCATCTATTTTTTGGACCACAAATACCCTTACAACTTAGAATGTCCACATAAGCCATTTAGATTGCTGAGATGACAGTCCAGCATGGCAAACAAAGGAAAGAAAAATGCCCTCGAACTATTAGAATGTCACGACCCAAGCCTCAAGTCATGATGGCACCTACCATAATCCACCACTAGTAAAACTACAAGAAAAACAGTCTCTAAGGAAGGGAAATCTAGTCCCTAAAAATCTGTATCTGGTCCCAAATGCGAAGTAGAGACCAGAAAAGGCTGGTCGCCACTCATCGCAACCACCTTAGTCGCAATTGGTCTTTAGCGACGAAGAGAAAAGGCTGGTCGTTACATGGCATTGGAGACGGGGAAAAATATTCCCGTGAAATGCTTTTAGAGACAACATATCTGGTCTCAAATAGACCTTATATATCTTGGGATTTCAGGTCGTTAAATCACTTTAGCGACCATCAACAACCTGGTCCTAGAAATCGTTAGAGACGAGAACATTCTGGTGCTTGATTAGTTTAATTTAGAGACGATAATAACCTCGTACTTGATTAGTTTTAGAGACGATAATGACCTGGTCCTTGATTAGTTTTAGAGATGAGAATGATCTGGTCCTAGATTATGTTTAGAGACAAGAATAATCTGGTCCTTTTATTAGTTTTTGAGACGAGAATATTACAGGTCCTAGATTATTCCTTAGAGACGAGACATTTCTTGTCTTAAATTGTCCTTTAGAGACGAGCAATATTTCTGGCCCTAGATTGAACATCAATGGTCCTAGTTAAATTGATACCACAATAAATAAAGCTCTTTAACAAACACTAAATCTCTACTAAAACTCTCGATAAAAAAATGATATAGAAAGACAAAGCAAAGAAGATAGAGATAAAAATTGCGATTAATTATAATAAATTGGTTAACATCCCATGATGTTAGTTGCAATATTTTTTTCAAAAAACTTATCTAACATCCGAGTTAGACTATACTATTGAGTTTTGCATAACATTCGTAGAAAACTAATAACAAGCTTGTGCGTTACTTCCAAACTTGTATCTTGACTTGAAACTTCAATCTTCAAAATCTGTTGGTTCAAAATTTTAAAAAACGATAAATAACTATTGTATACATGTAAATTTCATACTAGAATTAGGTCGATCACTCACCCCAAAAGCAGTTCAAATTTCAACAAGTATTAACTAGAAACATCAACAAAAGCTGCAGAACATAAGAAAAAATTATCAGAAAAACATTGAGATGCATTTATCAAGAATCCAAATAATTGATAAAGAAAGAGGCAGTCCAAAAATGCAGCACTGCAGACTGCTGAATCTCTGTATATACATGGAAGTACCAGTGCTCCTGTAATGGATGTAAATACTGTTCCTGCTAGTTAAGTGGCATTGCCACAAGTCTCTATAGACACTTTTTGATAAAGTAATATATTTCCTTGTTCAGCAAAAATAAAAGAATGCAGCAGTGCAGAACATGGAGAAGAAAGGCACACTGGTTTGTTTACAGTTATGATAGAAACAGTGAGAAGAAGGGCACTCTATATCAGAACCTGAATTCTGTATAGAGTTTTGTTTATTGCGAGAACAGAGACAACATCGATGACCTTGAGAATTTGATTTCACTAAACTTCCTTATTTTTAATGTGTTATAAATGAGACGTTGAGACTATATCCTGCAGTACCGCTTCTTTTTCAGTGGTAGAGTTGCCTAAAACTACTGTTATTCTACTAGCTAAGGTCTTGTGGAATTTTTTAACAAGAGCTTCGCTACTTAACCAGTTCTTAGAGGCTAAGTATTGTATTGGAACTCATTCAGTTGGAAATAAATGGAGATCTGGACAATCGCATATATGGAAAAAGATGGTGGAGGTTAAAAAATATTATGATCATCACATACTCTGGAAAATTGCTAAGGGAAATTGCTCTTTCTGGAGTGATAACTGGACAGGAAAAGGCCCCCTCTGTAACCTCCTTAATTATCAGCAAAGCTCTAAGGATATCAAAGTCTCGGACTGCATTGAAAATGAAATCTCGAATATGCCAAAACTGATGGATATAATTCCTTCTCACATTGCCGAGCACATTCAAGGAATCAAAATTCATGATGCACACAAAGACGTCTCAGTTTGGACCCTTGAAGACACGAGCAAATTTACATGTAAATCGGCTTGGAGAAGCCTAAGGAAATTTAAAACGATTTCTTTAACTTCTATGAAGAATTGGCATCCTAAACTCTCTTTTCAAGTTTCTTTTTTATTTTACGAATGTTATCAAATAGTTTACCTACTGATGATAAACTTTGCAGGTTCAAAATACATGGCTCATCTAGATGCCATTGTTGCAGAATGCACAAAAATGAAAACATTGAACACATTATTAGAGAAGGAGACATGGCAAAAGAAGTCTAGCAGTTTTTCGCAGGAAGCTGTGGTATCATTAACAATAACACACATATCAGATCCACTTTGATTAACTTGTGGGTGCACAAATCAAAATACAAAGTACATGACGATTCTACAATGTTTTCCTAATGGTTAATGTTTGTGCAATCCGATATCGACTCGAAGCAGCATATTGTCAGGGAAAAAGGTTATGGGGAATGCACTAACCCCATTACATAGTTTCTCATGGCTGCTTAATAATACATGTATTCAGAAAAATATTGAACAACCCAGCCAACATGACATCAGTTTCTACTTTCTAAGGACACTACGAATACTTCTGCTCGATTGAGTTTAAATTCTAAGACAATCAGAACAAGAAAACTTGTAGAGATGAGGATAGATTCAGCCAAATCTAGTTTCTATCTTTTAGCTAGAACGTATTAGCTACCATCCTTTTTTGCTAGAATTAGTCTAACTAGAAAGTGACTATATGCAAATCAACAAAATAAACTAAAAAGTTAGGTATTTGTTGCTTACTTGGTCAACAAAAAAGTAGAGGTCATTCAGTTGAAACAAAAGATGTCGCAGGTTGAACATGTGACTATTGAGCAGCGAAGAGTTCCTTCATTTTCATTATTTCTTTCATCTCATTTTCTAAGGTAGACAAGCGATTGTTCAAGGATTTGTTTTCCTCATTCAAGAATTTGTTTTCTTCATTCAAGGATTTGTTATCCTCTCGAGATGAACGTAGAGCAGAAAATAGTTCAGCCTTTAAAGAAGTTCCACCTTTTAAATCATTCGCCTTTACTCCACCCCCAAATCCAAATACATGGCTACGAGTTTGAGGTCCACAACATTTTTCAACAATCTCTATGCTAGGTAGAGATGGATCTGCTTGAACAATTTCTTGGAGTTGAGCCTACGAAATATATAAAAGAACATTTTCTATCAAACACATAACAATTTCAAGTAATAAACATATTGAATTTACCAAACGTACATGTTTTTCAATTGCTTCAGGTTCAACAAGCTTGTTATCTTTCTTATGAGTCTCGAAGAAAATGGTTGCCAAATCTGGTGGATTGCCATCTTTCCCTCCCTTTACATCAAAGGCAAACATGTCAAAGAACTCAAACCTTGTAAATATTTATGAAATAGTTTTATGATAATACCTTTTGATAAATAATCTCTCGAATAGGCTTGCTACCAATATGATGAAGCATCGTCAACTTAGCTCTATTTGTTGCATTCCTACTGCTTCTTGCCTGAATAAAAAATTGTCTTAGTTGGTAGAATTTACTTTGGTTGGAAAAAAAGAAACTAGAAGATTTTCCAAAAGAAAGAAATGCAAGATTGAGGTACTATTGCAATCTGTTACTGGAAATCATCCTGGAAATCCATCAGAAGGGGAATTCACTTATCCCTTCAATGCTACTGCTACAACAATTTACAGAACTACTTCTAACATTACTACCTCTATTTTACATATCACTAAGAAGCAGTTCAACAAAGCGAGATTGAGGTACACGTGAAGCAGTCTATACCAAACAGGTGATGCAACAATTCAAAGCACAATTACTATTTCAGCAACATGGATCAACAACTGGATATATTTGGTGCTAATGAGGTAAATCAAGTAGTAGAAAAGAGTGAAAAATATACTATTAAATCATTAGGCATACCTGGAAACTTTCAGAAGCAAAATGTTCCTTTACTAACCATTCCCATTCTTTTTTGTCTACTCCCCTTGGAATATTCCTAAGAGACTATTGAATAGGCTTATCCTTCACATATTTTGCATGCAAGTGTCCTCTCCATTTGTTCCATAACTCATTCATCCATCCCAAGATATGATCACGATGATCATTCATGTCAACACTCTCAAATTTATGCTACAATAATCAAAGCATGAGTTCGAGTTATTAATAAGGAAAAAGTATCAGGAAAGGATGTCAAAATGAAAAAGAGCTCTGTTCTATTAGAATAAGCAAATATTCCAGTAGAAAAAGAATTCCAGTTGCACATTTACTTATTCCAGTAGCT